TTAGGATGTTTTTGGGTTTGACTCAGGGCTTCACTTCTTTAGGGTCTGGTTTGGTTTTGCTTAGGGCTTCGCTCCTTTAGGGTTTCTTTTGGCTTGGCTTAGGGCCTTGCTTCTTTAGGAAGTCTTTGGGTTGGACTTAGGCCTTCACCACTCCCCAAAAAAAACTTCCCAAAAACCACTCCCCAGAAGCCACTTCCCAGAAACTGATCCCCAGAAACCACTTCCCAGAAACTACAAACTTCCCACAAACCAGTCGCCAGAAACCACTTCCCAGAAACCACTCTTCAGAAACCACTTCCCAGAAACCACTCACCAGAAACCTGAATTCGCGTTCCAGAACGAGGCGGACGCCCTTGAGAACTGGGTTCTTCAAACTCTCTCTCTGGGGGGGAACCAAACATCAACCTGAGACCAAAGCTCACTCCCTTCCCCACGCATCCCCACGCATCCCCACGCCTGACGGCCCCTGGACTCAATGGTCTTGGTGTTGAAGGCTGCACCAACGGTGGTTTCCTACACGTCCCAGCCAGTGTTGCCGCAGCAAAAGGGGGCATTGAAACGTTCTGCCAATGTCATGCCATGCATCATACCCCCAAATAGTCCTAAAGATCCACAGTTTCTTTTTGTCTGCTTTTGCTTGCTTGATTTGCTTCATTCCATTGAATTTCACAATTCCAACACATTCTAGTCCGACACACGCACGCACTCACTCTTACCAGAAAGGTCTCCAACACACCTACACACACGTACTGCAACGAAAAAAAAAAACTATAACCATGCAAAACCGCACTCTGGCCGAGTAGCGATTTCTTCTGAGAACTTGTTGTGCAAGAACCTCATCAGGATGCTCGACTTCCCCACCGAGGCATCCCCCAGCAGCACCAGCTTGAAGCCTTTGCGTGGCATCCGCGGTGCACCGGCGGAACTCGCCGCATCGCCATAGGACATGGGCGGAACGCGCCCCGCCGCGAGAAAAAAGAAAACAAAAACGGGCCCAGTGCGACGGGATGCGTGCTGGAAGCTGCGTGACAGGTGTGTTTTCAGAATGTTCATGATAGGCGTGTCGAAAACAAACGCCAACGGTCACCACCTGCGAGTGATGGAAGCTGCAACCGATATAGGATACAGGTGAATGTGCTGAGCATGGACTGTCTCCTTCGAAGCTTTCGAAAATTCGTTCAGTAAGCAGTGTTCGAGCCGGGGGTTGCAGGAAATTCAAGGATATTGGACTGCTGCTCTGGATTCATGTGCCACAAGCTTGCTCCTCTTGTCATGTGCAAACCGAGGCCTCAACATCACCCCTATCAATCTTGTGGTGCATAGCAGCAAGAAGCTCCTGCAGCATGGTGCCACTTTGTGAAGGTTCCCTCTGAAGCTTTCATTTTCGTCTGACACTTTCCCCACTTCAGCAAGTGTCTTCTACTTGCTCTTTGGCATTCTCCACCTCTCGGTGACTTTCGGTGTTCCACTAATATGGTTCAATCACAATGTTTTTTATTTGTTGGCTGTCCAATAGCCAAAGGCAAATAAAGATAAATGAAGGAGGCCAGGCTATGGCTTCGGTTGGTTTCATTGCTCCTTAGAGCCAGTACGACTCTTCTAGGCTGCTATCAGCGACAGTAGAGAATATTCAAAGAACGCTTTAGCCAGTAAAAAAAAGCCCTGCGAAACAAGCGCGCCGGTGAAACATTCCACAGGTTCAAACCGATATTCGCGAAAAGGAGGAAGGAAGGAAGGAAGGAAGGAAGGAAGGAAGGAAGGAAGGAAGGAAGGAAGGAAGGAGAAAACAAAAAACCTCTCTTCTCTTCAAATTCTTTCTCCGATGAACTTGCGAAGACTTCCTGAAACGAAGACTTTCCTGGATCGCCTAAAAACACCCAGGGTGTCGCCTCCAAATTGCTCCGTGCAGCCCCAGGTTTCAAGAGTTTCAAGAAGCGGACCTGCCACGTGCAGATCTGCGGACCGTGTTGCATGTCATGTGTGCGGCGGAGCTTCACATCTTGAAGGAAATCAGACATCCCCCCCAAGCCTCGATGCACGGACCCTTCGTGTCAGACGGAATTCTAAGGCTCAAACGGTCAGATCCGTAGCATCCGTGGTCAGAGACTCGAACTTCTTAGGAATGATGGACCTTGGAAGCGTCGTATTACTGGGAATGCAGACTCCCAAAGTACAGATGCTCAATCTTGGGTGGTCAAATTCCTGTTCATAAAATTTCAGAGACATCCTTAATAACTCTTTCAGAACATTTCATAACATGTTAAATGAGGATCTCTTTGGTGGGTGTAGTTTTCCACCACGACATCTATCTGGTTGAACAAACGAAAGGAATGAGATGGCTCCAATTGACACCCACTGCGCGGAGCACGTTGTCTCCAAGGAGGAGCTTGGAGCTTTAGCGCTGACTTATGAAGTCTCTGGTCGTCTTGTGGGACGATGTGTGGAAAGCACGGACCTTGACACATGAAACATCATGAAACACTGCACGAACGGTTTCAAAAAGGTGTGCACGTGTTTTGTTCAAAACCACCGAAAGAACGGAAGGCCGTTCTTCGTGCCGCAGTCCTCACAGGCCGTGACCCGATTGCCCTGCCGCGTCGTGCGAGTGCCGGTGACTCCATCGTCCAAGCTGCCAGTCTCTCACGAAGGAGCCCAAGGCTTTCACGCCACGAGGGGCACCAGCACCTGAAGCACCACTCGCCTACTAGGCCCCGGCCCGTTGGGCCTTCTTCATTTTCGCCTGTCGGAAGAGGTCTTACCAATTCAACTGGGGGAGGTCATTGATCAACAGCACCCCATTTGGATTGGAAAAACCATCCGAATGTTGTGTCATGAATCAAAGAGTCTACACATGTCTACACTTCGTGAAGTCCAACGTAGTCCAAACCATTCAAACCACAATGGTGGCAAAAGCAACTGTAACTGAGATGGCGACGAATCCACTCGACAAAAAGTGAATGCATCATGATGGGCTCGGAAAAAAGTCCTGTGGCAAAGGATATGCCGATCACAACCCCCTATGAAATTGGTGAGCACGAAACAACCTATGCAATTTCTAGTAATTAGGTGGTTGATCTTAGGAGTGCAGCCCTTCCCCAATCACCTACAAATATCTACAAATGTTGTGTTCAAGAACAAAACGAAGGTTGAAAACCGTATTGATACTGTTGATGGACAAAATCCTGCACCACTTTGCGCACACTTTTCTTGCTGCCCTCGTCCTCCCTCGTTAACATTGGGGCCACCACAATGAGAAACAAAAACAAGTTGACGGTCCAAAATCCTGCGCCACCTCCTCAGAGGGGTCGCGCCAACATTGAATGAGGGGGCACGGGGGTTGCTATGCGACCCTTCCACGAACTCGAACCATCAGCTGTTTCTTCGTGCCGAGTTCTCGATCGGACGCGAGTGACGCCGAGCTCTCGGACGGTGAATGGCGTGACGACTGGCCGTCCCAGTCCCGTGATCGCACCAGCGGCGCGCGGCAAAAGAGCGGTCTAACTTCTGCACATATTCTCTTTGGTCCTGCGGGTGAACCGGGACACGGGCCGCACCATTCGGCACTGGGTAGAGATCACAAAGGACAAGTTGTGCCATGCATACGAATACAGGAGCATGATTCTTAGGGTGTGTGGCCATGTCAATGGATTCATTTGAATTTGGCTATGCGACAACTGGTGAGACCCGGTGTTCCACTCATGCTACTATGCTGAGCTGCAGATCATAAATCCTCATGCAAAATGGATTTATATAGTTATATATATATATATACCTCTACGCCTGGCTGGACCTCTGCCTGTTGCGTGATCTTTCCAAACTTGCCAGGAAACAACATGAAACATCATGAAACAACGAATGAATCAGCACATTGGTCCTTCAACACCAAAAGAGATGGTGCACTGAAAGGATCTGGCGCAGTGAGGCCTGCTGCCATTGCCAATGCCTTAGTCCGCAAGCTCCTTCATCTTATCTCAACATGGTCATATTGTTCGTTCATCCTTCTGTCATAACGGTCTCCTCCAAATTACAAAAACGGACTCTAAGATTGCTTAGTAAAGCTCCCAAGAATGATCACTCCAAGCATGTGGTCTTGGAGGGACTGCTTCTATCAGGTCAGGGGAACCGCCGCGTTTTGGCGACCAGTTTCGTGGCTTCGTCCCGAGTTCCCGCACATCAGCAGGGCCTCGGATTCGTGTCCGAAAGCAGGGCCTCTTCGTGTCCAGTTTTCACGTGACTTGATAAGCTGTTGGCATGTGACACATCCGCTGTCCCCAGACACTGAGCTACCAGACATCTGAAAAGGCATCCAAGGAAAAGCAACCGGCAAATGCGAAGATCACAGGGCAAAGCCTGAGAATCAGTGGCAGCCCCTTCCAGTCAGTGGTCAGCGCCGCTTCTGACTCTACCACTCTACCAGCGGTTGGAAGGCCGAACCGAGTGAGGAAAACCACCTGCGATGGCGATCCCGAGGCCGCGGCGATGGCGATTTGTCCCAAGGGCGTGATGTCCGCATCCTCTTCCGCTGTGGTCAGGCAGCCAACGGCGGCGAGTTCCCAAATGGCAGCCTGCAGGAGACACATCTCAGATGAGATTGCTCCGTCAGAAATGATGTCCTCATAGTAACCAAGAAAACGTGATGTGGTGGAAAAAAAATAGACCTATGCCGCAGTGGATCTCCACTAATGCCTACCTCTGAGCCAATACCACCGTGGAAGACCGAGAATCGTCGACTGGTCCGTTGTTCTTCCGTCGAAGGAGCTGCCCATGGGCTTGGCATGACGCACTCACGTGGGCAATCACCGCGTGTTTGCAAGTGTCTGGAAGGGGATGTGATCAAGACATCTTCTGGAAGGCGAAATCAAGTGAATGAGTTGGGTCTATCCTATTACCAGTAACAGTGGATGATGATGGTTAGTAAAGGTCGCGGTCTTTACTTTCTCTAAAATAGTGATATATGCTCACTGACTGTTACAGGCAATAGGAAAGACCCAACCAATGAGTGTCAGACTTTCAGGTACCATTCTACGTCCACCCGATTTGTTCGTCAATCACATGATCTTGTTCGAAAGAAAATCGCTCAAAAAAACTGCATCCAAGCAACGTCCAACAATTCCAGCGACGGAGGTTGCACCACCTGCGGGTTAGATATGGTCAAACCCTCATGGCAGAAGATGGTCAAAAATGGTCAGTGCGTGTCTCCCCAAAGTCCCCAAATCAGCTTGGATCCCTCAACACTGTTCCTAAAGACATTGGTGACCACTGCACCCTGCCCTGCTCTTCCTGCATATCGTGCATGTGGTCTTTCAACACATCCTGCCTCTTGCAGAAGCGCCTTGGGCGCACTAACATCCATGTGCACTTCCGGCCTAGAAGACAAGCGAGCTGCTGAATAAAGAGCGACCGTGCAGACTTGATCCACAGAGACAAGCGAGCTGCTGTCCCATGGATCTTGGGAGAAAAGTGAAACTGGCCTTACTACTAGGAGCAAGAAGCTACTCGGGGCTCCTGGCATCGCTACTGGAAGCAAGGACGCTACTAGGGGCTCGTGGCCTTACTACTAGGAGCAAGGACGCTACTAGGAAGGTGCACGGCTGGATTGGCATCAAACGGCCCACGGATCGAGTGCAAGGTCGCGGCGGTAGATGCACTCGATCCGCCACTCGAGTGAGGGTGGAGCATAGTTGCTTTGCCTCACGGTCATTGAAGAGTTGCGCCGGCCAATCAAAAGCGATTGGAAGAAAGACCACCTGGAGTCTTGCAGCTTTACCGATGGTGCAAAAGGATTTCTTGCTTGCGAGGAGTCAAAACACTACATCAGCTACCCTTCATGGAACTTCCTGTTCTCACATGACCAGCCACCTGCAAGTAGAGCTTGGTCAGCGGTGCATTCAGCATCTCCGGGGGGTCAAACAGCGGCCTGGCCCGTCGCCGTCGCTGACTTCGGGACC